CAGATTGATGTAAGCTGAAATCATAGTTGTTTTATAGAAAAAATTGATCACAGACTGCTAATGCAATAGTCAATTGAAACTCCTGCCCCCGACCCCCGGGGCTAGCGGGGCACTGAACGGGGATGTGACGCATTTTAACAGCAAGATTGCCCCTGGGGATCGGGATTTTGATGAATTGCTTTCAGGTGGGGCAAAGAGCGGGGATTTTAACACGCGTTTGGACATGTAAAGGCTGGAAACTAGAGGTCGGCCATCTTGAGAAATACCTTGAAGGCATTGGTATTCAGCCCCGCTTTTTTATTTGTTTATTTTTCCTTGCATGAAATTTTTTAAAAAGAAACTTATTACACGTTTTTCTCCATCCAGTTATAGCCTCAGGTAGTACGAAAATGAGTACACAGGATTGTGCAAAAATTCACCCTGTGTATCACAGAAAATTTGATTGAAAGGTGTTTGTTTTGTTATTTACTACTAGACCAAAATAACGTGGCAACAGTAGCGGGGATTTTAACAATGAATGTGGCCCGACTACCAGGGAAAATGTCTTATTTTAACACCACTCAAACGTTAAATTCCCCGGTATTCCCCGGGGGTCGCGGGTCGGGGGTTTCAATTGACTAGTGAATAATGTACATCAGGCGCGTAGCGTCCTTTACGCATATTGACCATTTGAAAAACGAGCAGAGGACTGGGAATGAGCACATTAAACAATCTTATTCATTGTGATGTGTTCTTTCAACGGGTAGCAATGATACAATAAAAATCGTATAAACTAAGGAGTTACGGTAGCCACGCCCTTTTTCATATGGTCTATACGCCCGTGCGTACTAGTTGCAAGGAAACATTGAAATTTTCAAAAAAATTACTGATAAAATCAAATAAAATTCACATAATATTGATTCCTTTTATACGCCCTCGATGTCTCTCAAAACGCTGGAAATCTCATTTCCAAGAGTTATTATTTCAAATTTTCCTGGGGGAGGTCCAGACTCCCTCAATACTCCCTTCTTTGGCGGTGTTAGACCCCAAGATCCAAAATATGTGCCACGGTCCCTGACATGTGCGTACTAGCCAAAACTTCCACGCTACGCGCCTGTGCATGCACTAAGAGAGTGAAACAATGCAGGAATGCGCTCCTGAAATTCTTTGTTATGTTTCAATTGTTTTCTATTCTTCTACAGTAAAGAAATGTTTCTTCAGAGTGAAGCAAAAGCAAGACTCGCAGCGCAGTTGGCTGAAAAATATGATATCAGAGGGTCCAGTAAACCGTCCAAATCGTCTCAAAGGGAGAGGACAACCATTAGTAATACTATCAACACTGTAAGAGCCAAACCAAGAAGTTTAATTTAACATATACTTATTTATTATATCATTACGTATAAAGTGCCTATATATATTACTACTTACTATTACACTATTGCTACTTTTACTACAACAACAACGAAAATCATATTAAAGAATGATTTAAAATATATAATATATATTACTACTTACTATTACTTACTACTACTTTTACTACAACTATAACGAAAATCATATTAAAGAACGATTTAAGATATATAATATATATTACTACTTACTATTACTTACTACTACTTTTACTACAACTATAACGAAAATCATATTAAAGAACGATTTACAATATCAATTGATGCAGCATTTTTACTCGATGTGCATGAAGTATTCTCTTATTCGGAAAACGTTTTTGTGCTTCTTCCTATATTCTTTTTCCACAGATATCATCATCCCAAGAGCATACAAGTAATGCTGCTTTGCTTCGTTCYGTTTTTGTTGAAAACCTCGATCTTCTTGTWGTGTCTTCAGAGGATCATAACATTTGTAAGTTTGTTTGTTTGTTTTTATGCGGGGGGAGGGGATTTTCGAATATACARATGAAATTTATGAAAACAGAGGGGCGGGGTCGATAATTCAAACTCTCGCTAGSCTCTAGCGACTTCATATGGCCTTGCCTTGTAGATTTGAAGCAATTGACTAAATACATCAATATATTTTCAGATTTATGGGGTTTTGATGAGAATGCTGTTTCGGTTTTGCAAAACATGCGACCGGCAGATGAGAGTCTTATCATMAAGTATGCAATTCTATTAGAAGGAAAAAATACGATCAGGAAACCTGAAGAAGAGGTATGAACCTCCCCCCTAACCCCTTAACCTGAACGTCTTTTATTATATTTCTGATTTGTATTGCGATTTCTATTTTTAAGAATACCGAAGACTCTGTCACCAATCGCGTTGCTGGTTTTGTATGTAAGCACGTTTTGACTGAGCATACAAACTGTGTGACTGGCCTTGCTGTGGTTGGCAAGGAAGTTGGATTTGGCACAACTTATTTGGTACGTCTTCCTTACCGTTTTGTTTTGTTTTTCGTTTTTCACGCATCAATTTCGTTTGTTTGATGAACAGATCAGTGCTGGTTGGGACAGACGGATTCTGCTCTGGGATCTTGAACGGGCAAGGTAAATAAAACGTACAAATTACGTCGTCTGCGCGGTGAAAACGTGCCTGTAAAGAATTTCGAAACTGAGTTTTTAGTTTCACATTTTTTAACAGCTTAGCTTTTGTACGTTTCAGATTTCACGATGCATTCCGTAACACAGATAGTAAATCACACGAGAACGAAGAATTGGCTTCTGATGGGATTATTATGGACTTGACTTACAGCGTGGAAAGGTGTTTATTGCATTTTTTCTATTWGAAGTTTCTTTGCWTCTGACTCCTCTTCTGATCCGACTCTACTTCGGATTGCTTCTGTCTATGCTTRCGATTGCTTTCGACTATGAAACTATGAATCCGACTGAGCAGCTTTCTATGTAGCACAATATTCAACCATTTATCTTCAATGTTTCCATTAATCTTTCTGTATTAACAACAGAAATGAGTTTGCATACGCGTCATCYGATAAACTCGTGTACATCCGTCAATTTTCTGACAAAGGCGATGAGATGACATTRTCAGCAGTTTTACAAGGACACGAGGCAGAGGTTACTCAGGTATCTTTCGATGATCTTGACTTATTTTTTGTACTTAAAATGGCAMTTGTTCATATATTCCAGAGAAATGTAAAAATGCTTAAAAATGTCATTGTGGGACTAGGCAGCATGCCCGGGTGATCTGTTCATATTATATCTTGTCATAGGTAAAATGGAGTTCAGTTTGTAGCAAATGGGTGACTGGATCGGAGGACGGTACTATCCGTGTTTGGGTAAGTATCGGATTTGGTGGGATTTACTGATTTACATTGCCGGTAAGCGTTCTACACTTCGGCACAACCCGGCATCTGCTCAGCACACACATTGACAAACAACAATGTGGATGATGTATAATAATTCACGATAATAGGCGTTAAGGACAAATGGTAGGCAAGACTCCAAGGACAAAAAGTGCGCGATTATAGACGCCAAGTTTAAATAGTGCGCAATTTTAGCCGTCAAGTGCAAGAAGTGCGCGATTGTAGACGCCAAGCTTGAAAAGTGCGCGATTGTAGACGCATGGATAATAAAAGCTTTTATTATCCATGGTAGACGCCAAGTTTAAAAAGTGCGCGAATGTAGACGCCAAGTTTAAAAAGTGCGCGATTGTAGACGCCAAGTTTAAAAAGTGCGCGATTTTAGCTGTCAAGGGCAAGAAGTGCGCGATTGTAAACCCTAGACCAAAAAAAAAGTTTCCAATAATACACACCAATGGCAAAGAGTGCAAGAGAAGGACACATCTTTTTAGATATCATTTTTTTATATTAATCCATAGACAGCAGATGGCATGTCATGTGAAATGGTGCTGAGTGCTCTTGGTGCTGTTTCAGCATTGTGTATTGACCAGGTTAATGGTTGTGTAGTGGCTGGTGTCCAGGAAGTCATCAGGTACTAAATGACAGTAATTACTATTATTTCAAATTGTATAATCTTTGGTGATGGTTAATTGTCATCTTGAATAGAGTTTATGACACTGAAGCTCGTAAAATTGTCCAAAAGAATGTTGGTCACACAGATTCTGTMCGTTGTATCATTCACATTCCAGAGCGTTCCCAAGTAAGTGCAACGTCAGTCTTCTTTAAATTTTGTTGTTGTTTTGATGTATACTGGTATTAATTTTTGCTATATTTTGTTTTTAAGTACATATCCGCATCGTGGGATAACACTTTGAGGATATGGAATGCTTACAAGAACAGTAAGTTTACACAGGAAGCCCAATCACTCACATATTTCACAAAAAGGTTATGTGAAATCAAATCACTTGGCATGATAATTAAATTAAATTTTTTTTTTCGTAGCAGGAAGAAAAAGAGCCAACAAAGACTTTGTCAACATGGTAGATAATGAAGACACTGAAGATTTATAAGAACACAGACTCTAAAGTTAAAATAGTTTAATCCATTACTAGTTTGTGAAACCTTAAGATTGTAGTATYTTTCTACAAATTAATTATTATTTTTCGCATATTTTTGAAAGCAACAAGTTTAACACAAAGAGCTTTGATACAAAACATGTAATTAAATTCATATTTTATTTTTCAAATAAATATCATTTATTCAATACAAAATCCATTTTTCAAAGAAGCTAAGTAATAATTGCACTTTTTCAGAAATAACATTCTGAAAGTCACTGGCCTCCTCAACAGCTGACTTTTTTTGCTTTTACTTTGGGTATCCTGTGGTGAAATAACACCCTGACAAAGAGAATAGAAGAAAAACAGTTTATCAAGATTTTTCTTCTCTGAAACCTATGAGCACCTAAAATATGTCTGAAATGCTTTTTGTGACTTCAATTTGTGAAAATTATTAAAAAATATATAACATTTAAACACTCATTCAGCTTTCATGAGCATGTTTATACACATTACAAACATCCTATTTGAATGCTAATAGTTTTATTCTAATGAATGTAGATAGATCCTGCTATTTAAACTGAGTTTGGAAAATTTTCAGTCCAATGAGTTGGTTAATGAGTGAATGTAAACTGCCTTGTAATGAAGATTCATTATGTACCAGAGCCTTTAGTATCAGATCCAAGCMTCAGTCGGTTCTTCTAWAGTGATTCTTCATAAGCTTTTTTGAACCTTTCCTTCTTTCTTTTGGCTTCTTCCATATTTCGGTATCGCCGTTCCTTTGACTTTGAGGAAAAACMATATTTCAGTATCAGGATATTGAGGAATTTGTAAATAAGAGTGAAGAGAAACTAAAACAATACACTCTAGAGATTGGAATAATAGACTTTGTTCCTTGAATGATTGGAGCAACAGAAACAACACATCGTGGCGAGTGAATGAATTAGGGCTTCTTTATGCAAGGAAGATACATAAAGCATATCTTAAAGGTACCATACCTCTGCTTTTAGACATCGTTGCATATTTCTTTCAATTTCATTGCACATTCCAAAGAATTTACCAAACTTATGCTACAAAAAGAACCATAACATGTTTAATACCAACACATTTCTAATACKTTTCGCATAATGTTTGGCTAGATTTTTAAGTTTTACCTCTTCGTGGCATTTATGTAACAGTTCAATTAGTTCTAAACATTTTTCGTGAAGATGAGGAGCGAGTAAAGGATGCATATTGATATTGCATAACAAGACCTTCAAACACCAATGATGTCCGC